GGGATAGCGCATTATATATAGTAGGGATCTTCACAACCTCTTTTCAAAACAGGCAGAAGAACTAAGTGAACCTACACTTTTGGACTCGTTCTCGAAAAAAATAGAGGTCTGAGTTCCCTACACTTTCAGGTGCACTCCACTTTTTGTCAACACAGCCCCCTAAGGTATCACCGATAACAATTTGCAGCAATACGATTAGCTTTTTTCAAAGACATCGAAGAATAATGGGGTAACCCATATTCTTAGGACACACTGTGTGTTTCTCAGTGGCCCACTAACCACATACCTGAAACTGTAAACTGGATGTTTTCTATTACATCTTTCTCATCTTTAGTCATGCCGGCCTGAATGACTGGAGCTCAAAAAGTTCTCTTGCCAGACCCCTTGAAACTAAACTCATAATTTCTAAGTTCTGATAATGGAACATGGACCCACCGTTGGACAGAAGGCTATCGCACCAGGAAGTATCGATGGAAACGTGAGCAAAAAAAGACACGTTTCTTTTGGCGTCTTGACAGCTAATGTGGCCTTTATGGGCCATCAAGCGGCTAACTGAAAAACAAGGATACTTTTTGCGCTCTTATCAAGTTTAATGAAGAGAGAAACGCTCCACTCTGTACGGATCACTGATAAAAAAAGATTGAACATGCCAGTATATACTCAGCAATGCTATACGAGGAACCAGACCTCGCGAACTCCTGATCAAAGCCTGAACATAAGCTAGAGATTTAACCTAACTTGTTCTAAGAGAATTTTTCTGCACTATCCCGAGAGGATAACTATCTCCTATTCAAATTTATGAAATTTTCGCCATTTTCAAAACGTCCTGAACCACTCGAAACATTCAAGTAGGGAAACAAAGTTGCAAGTGGCAAGCAATCGATAGCAATCTTTATTCTACAGCGAACAAAATGGCATGCAGGAAATAATCTAAAAAGGAATAAAGTGCAAATACCAGATCGAGCTCTTCTCCGTTTTATGTGAGTGCTCAGTCCAATGACCCTGAAACAAGCTGGAATCACCTCACAACTACTCATAACTCCAGCCTAATGTCAACGGCTACAATTACCAATGCTTATCAAAGGGACTTATGCACAAGTTTACGCTACAACTAACCGTGAGATAAAGATCCTGATTGTACAATTATTAAAGCACAGTTCAGCAAAC